GCCGACCAATACGCTTCAAGAACGGTCATCAATCAATGACGTGTCTACATGACCTGGTCCGCATTGACTTACAACGTTGATTTGCAAGAATACATCGACGATACTCGAGCGTGCTTGATTGACATTGACGCAGTTGGCATCAACGTACCAGTCAAAGTAATTGCTTATCTTGTTCTTGGCAAACTGATGAACCAAGACCTGGATCAAATTGTTGACAAGCTAGCAATGGATGAGAAGGCAATCTCCGATCCCTACTCGGTGCTAAACGAATTGCAAACGTATCACACTCACAAATCCAGCAAATCAGAGAAGAGTACTGCCTTATACACCGCATCTTCAACTGTCTCAAAACCTGTGATTGCTTCAAAATCAAAGTTCCCTGTCAAGATACTCCACTTCTGTGATTTTGGCAAACATAATCCAGAATCCAATCATCCAGAAAATCACTGTTTTGAGAAGTATCCAGAACTCAAGGACACTTCAAAATCTCAGAAGAATCCAAGTGCAAGTTTTGCTCATGCATCTGCGTTTGTCACTTACGTTCTTCCCAATTCATCAAATTCCTTTATAATCCATTCTGCCGCTTCGAATCATATGGTTCGAGATCGATCTCTTTTTACATCCCTCACAAAACAAAGAATCACCATCAATACCAGAAACCCTACTTCACCGCTGATTGCTGAAGGATACGGATCAGTCTCTCTGTTGATCAATGACAGGGAGGTAGTTCTGACTGACTGCCTCTTGGTGCCAGATATCTCCCAACAACTCATCTCTTTGGTTCGAATGATATCCGATTCAGTTAATATCAAGAAGTTGGGAACAAAATTCATCATCTCTGATACATCTGGGACCCTATTTGAAGGACAGATCATCAACAATCTTCTCCATTCATCATACTCAAACAAACCTTCAGCCCACTTCAGTAATAAAATCGATGACGATCATCAAATCTGGCACGGGCGCTTAGGGCATCCCAACGAAGCAGTCATGAAGAAGATGAAACTCCCTGGTCCACCAAAATTGGGTACCTGTGAGGTGTGTATCTGTTCTAAAATGACTCATACTCCTTTCTTAAGTCACTTTCAACCTGTCCATTCACCCCTTCAACGCATCCATATGGATCTAGTTGGTCCAATTAAGCCATCCTCAATTTCCGGCTTCAGCTATTTTTTAACCATCGTTGATCAATTCTCATCATTTAAGTTCATTCGTTTTCTGAAGGCAAAATCTGACACGCTTGATATACTCAAAATTTTTATTAAGGAGGTCGAGAATTGTCAAGAATCTCGTGTCAAAGAGATTGTCTCTGATAATGGTGGGGAATTTACTAGTCATCAATTCAAGAAGTTCACTGGCGATCACAGAATCAAGCACATCTTCTCTCCGCCTGAAACACCTGAACACAACGGATATGCCGAGCGAGCTAATCGTACCATACTTGATAAAGCTCGATCGCTGATGCTCACTAGCAAACTCCCCAAGACCTACTGGGCGGAGGACGTGAACACTTCTACGTTTGTCTCGAATCTCCTATCAACTCCTTCTTGTTCCAATTTCTCTCCGTATGAGCTTTGGACTAAGTCTTCTCCACCCATTCATCGCATCAGGACCTTCGGCTGCAAAGCGTTCATATGCGTGCCTAAATCACATTGCTCGTGGAAGCTTGGTAATAAGGCTGAAGTGGGTGTCCTTGTTGGATTTGAGAACGAAGCTACTGTTTTTAGAATTCTTCGCCTCAGTGACAAGAAGCTGATTCGAACTCGCCATGCTGTCTTTGATGAATCTTCTTTTCCAAAGTTCTCTGACGAATTCGTGCCATCCACTGGTGATGATTTGAGCTTCTTTGAGGATTCTTTTGAGGAGGAAAGCGACATCGGTGACGTTTCTCCTGCGTCTAACTCTGGTCTGGAAATTCCAGTCGTTCCCGATACTCCGCGAACCCCTCTCCCAGTGGACCCAGATGCTGAATTGACAGGCTCGAAATCGAAAATCATCATTGGGGATGTTTCATCCTCAAACATCATCTCTTCAAAGCGCGTGAGGAAAGCTAGGGCTTTTCATACAGTTGCAAATCCCGACATCCCTGCTCACTACCATCGCGCAACTCATTGCGCGGAGGCAAAGTCCTGGGAAGACGCTATCAAAAAGGAGCTTGATGCCATGGCTGCTCTTAAAGTTTGGTCGGTTGTTCTGTTGAATCCTGACATGAAAACGGTTGGAACAACTTGGGTTTTCAAGAAGAAAGTTGGTGAAGGCAAGACTATGCGCCCAGGGTTTCTCACAGACTCATGGCATTGACTTTTCAAAGACGTTTGCCCCGACTGGTCGTCTCAACTCTCTCCGTGCTCTGGTGTCGTATGCCGCTGCGAATGATCTCAAATTCCAACAACTTGACGTTAAGACTGCATTCTTGAACGCCGATCTCGCTGAAGATGTTTATCTCTCCATTCCTCAAGGTGTTCCGTTGGAAAAGAAAAAAGTCTGCCTCAAGCTTCATAAAGCTATTTATGGTCTGAAACAGGCACCATTGGCCTGGTACAACCGTCTTTCTTCCTGGTTGATCACGGTCGGCTTCTCTATCTCTGTGGCCGATCCCTGTGTCTTCTATCGCCTGGGAGATGATCCTGTCTGGCTCTTCATCCATGTGGATGACATTGCTGTGTTTGGCAGGAACATCTCTAAATTTAAATCGGAAATCAAATTGGAATTTGACATGGGAAAAGCTGATCTGCTTCTGGGCATCAAGGTACTCCATGAACCATCCGCTATCGTGCTCTCACAGCTTCATTATGTCAATTCCTTGCTTTCGCTCTATGGTATGACGGCTTGTCGACCAGTCGCAACTCCGTTTGTCCCGAATACCAACGGCGCAACGCTACGCTAAACTACGTTTAGCGGGGCTACCCTGGTAGCGTAGCGGACCCCGCTAACGGCTCCATGAGGTTAGCTGTAGCTGTAGCTGTCAGACGCTAAATGCAACTGTAGCTTAGCAAGGGCTCCGCTACACAGCCTTGTCCCCCTCTGTAGCTTAGCGGGTCAGGACAGCTAACGCTAAAATAAACGGTAGCTCTAGCGGTGTAGCGCACAAACCCGCTAATTTCCCCCGTTACGCGCTACAGACCGCTACACCCTAATTTCCGTGTAGCGCAAGGGAGCGCAGGGTAACGCACTGTAGCGCAGCCGCAGCCGCACAGACCTCACCCCACCCATCGTACATCCCATCCAAACATACCCCACCCCATCCAACCACCACCTGACCAACGCACAGACCTCACCCCATCCAGCCGCCGACTGCCACCCATTGCACATCCCATCCGAACGTACCCCACCCCATCCAACCACCACCAACACACAGACCTCACTCCACTGTTCCCATCCCATCCAACCGCAATGGCTCCGACTCCAAGAGAGACCACCCCGCCTGACCAAATGAGCACTCACCCCCGTCAATCAACTCGGGTCCGAACCCCTCTTTCACTCCCTGGATTCATTCAAACTAATCCAGATTCCCGACGAGCCCTTGAGGCCCCACCCAAATCACCCTTGGCTATTGATCCAGCTGACCCCACGGAGGAAGCGACCACAGGGCCGTCTGGGCAACACCAAATCTAAGGCACACAAGAAAGGACCTCAAGTAAGCCCTTTCCTTGCCCAACTCCAAAAACAATCACCCCCTCTGTCAAGCGGATTGCTTACCTGCTCCCCTTCAATTACAGTCTGTTAACAGGAGTTCCACGGAACACGTCATCGACGTTGAAACCGCAATTGACATTGTTCAAGATTCTGACGAAGAGAATTTGAAGGCCAAAGAAAAGCCCAAAGTTGACCGGGACGGATTTACCCATCCAAAGTTGTATTATCACACAGGATTCCAGGCTGAAGATCAGGTTTGATTTCCCCTCGTTCTCAATTTTTGCAAGTGGATTTACTTATAACAATGGCTTACTGACATCGTACGTTTATTTGGTTACTGATCAGTTCAAGGAAGGAGCCCTTACCTACAAATGTCGATGGTGCCCTAAGTCTGTCCGGGTGAATGATTCCACCGATTCAAACCTCAAGACTCACCGTGATGGGGCCATCAATCGCTCTCACTTACGAAAAGCGTGTGCTGGACGAGCAAAGGCCATTGCACATGGGGCCAAGCTTCCGACTAGTGCCAAGGATAAGTTTGCGGCTATCTCTAAGGAGAAAAAGGATGCTCAACCTGCGAGTGGTACACTGACCGCTTACGTTACAAAAGGAAGGTTCAATACCAACACCATGAACAAAGTACTACTCTTCTGGATCATCCGACAGTTGCTTCCATGGGCTCGGTTTGAAGACTTTCTACTCCGGGTGGCTTTTGACTACTGCAACACAAATACAAAGGTCTTCTCACGCACTTGGGCTGCTCATAATGCACGTAAGTTATATTTATCCCTGCAGCACCAGGTGATTTCGGACATCAAGGTAAGTTATAATATCATTATTCTTCTTCAATCCTTATATAGTATGTACGACCCGCAGCTAATACATTCTCTTGACCTCTTTTGTCTAGGAATCCGACTCGAAGATTGGCTTGATTGCCGATGTCTGGACAACTAAAGGTAATCACAAAGCGTTCATTGGCATCTCGGTTTGCTACATCAACAAGAAGTGGCGATATGTTTCTCAGCACCTGGCGTTGAAGTATGTTTCCTGGCACCACAATGGCAAATACTTGGCGGCTCCTTTTGCCAACGTTATTGCCAAGCATGGATTGCATAACCAAATAAGTGGTATTTCATTTCTCTCATGTTTATAGGCTGCTCTTGCTGACACCTGTCTCCAACCCTATACATTGCAGCATTGACGACTGACTCAGGCAGCAACAATTTTACCATGGCGACCGAATTGGCGAGGATCCTCAGAAGCAAGAGTGGCAACTTTGATTATCATCCTCGATGTTTCTGCCACGTGCTAGCACTGGTGCTGGGTGCTGGGCTGAGGAGTTTGAAGCTTGCCAAACCTCTGAAGGCACCGTGCAAGACCCCTGACTACTTTCCTACCCTCGACGCTATTGTGGAAGGTGAAGAAGAAGCTGAGGTGGACAAGGAAATCGAGTTGGAGATCCTCCAACTAGACGATGTTGAAGACCCTGACAATGTCGATCCTGATGATGTATCAAACTCTGGTCAGGATTCTGATAACGACTTGGACGAGATGGAAGGTCAGACCGTCCACAATGGTGGAATCAGCCACACCTTAGTCAAGGTAAGTTTTTATCAAACTGATCACTCCCACTCGGAAACTCAATACTAATGTTCCAAAGCAGGTTGATTACATTTGTCGAAGGGTCTCATCATCTTCAGCTAGGCGAGCCGACTTCAAACTAGTAGCCGACGATTTAAAGCACAAAGGCTCACTAATTCCCGGGTATGGCATTCGCTGGAACATTGCTTATGATTGTTGGCAACGTGCATATGCGGCCAAAAAAGTGATTGACCAACTTTTAGAAGACGAAACCGATAAGTGCGCAGGGAAGTCGGGTATTGTACATTACTACAAAGGTTATGAAATCTCCAAGAGAGAATGGGAGAACCTCAACTCCCTCACCATAGTATTAGAGGTAAATCCCATTTCTGATTTCTCCAATTCGATCCTTGGCCCTTGCTGTAGTATTTACACAACTAACATCTCAATTGTTCAAACCCAGGAATTTGTGGCGTTAACGTTACACATGGAGGGGGACGGGCCCAACGCTTCAATGGTATTGTACAAGTACTGCCGCCTAATCAAATCCCTTGAGAAAAAAAAGGCTGCTCCCGAATTCGCCGTGTTAAAACCAATGTTTGATCCAATGATCAAGATAGCCAAAAAATATCAAGACATCGCCATTGGTTGTTCTGCCTTATTACTTGCTTCAATGCTTCACCCAGCGTGGAGGCTATGCCTTATTAAAGACAAATACCCTGGTCACACCAATATCGCATTCAATCTCCTTCAAGCGGCATTCAAGTCCAAACAAGAAGCTCACAATCTATTGACCCCCGAATCGACTACCCCAGATTCAAACGCGGACAATTCTGATGCAGACGGGTTCAACTATTATCCTGCAAAGAACCAGGTGTCGCAGGAAGACAACAAGATTAAGAAATATCTCGATGGCGCATGGCCACTTGGGAAAAAGGGTGATCCTCTTCAATGGTGGATGGTATGTGATCACGCTCTCATATTGCCATTAGTATTACATTGAACTGATCATGAGCCTATCTTCTAGAATCACGAGTCTGAGTTCCCCCGACTGGCAACGGTAGCTCGCGACGTGTTAGCATGTGCAGGAATGTCGGCCACAGTTGAACAGACATTTTCAGCAGCTGCTGATGTGTGCGCCCCTGGTAGGAAGAGTCTGGCTGCTGCTACCATTGAGCGATGTGTCAGCAGCCATATTTGGTTGTAAGAAGGTATCAAGGCAAAGGGTGAATTTGCTGATTGTCAGTCTGTGGTTGACACCGCCACAGCCAATCCAAAGTTTGCAACTCAAGTGGCGAATCAATCGAAGAAATACAAGGCCCACAAGATCAAGCATTTTGGTAAAACCAAATAATGCTTTGCTCTTACTCATAATAATAGTTTCCTTATCCTTATCCACACTCTCCTACTTGTCTTACTTACCACACCCCCTGATTCTTATACATTGTGGCCAACTTGACTACTTATTCCACATCTGAAAAATAATAATTTTTGAACCCAACCCCCCGCTAATGTAGCGGCACACCCCGCTAATCATTCGCTAGATATAGCGTAGCGGCGCTAAAGTGAGCTGTAGCTTAGCGAGTGCGCGCTAAATCCTGCTAAATTGAGCGCGCTAAAAACCAAAAAAAAACTTGAGCCTCATGCGTAGCTGTAGCTGCAGCGGTGCCCCGCTAAAAAGGAGCTGTAGCGTAGCTAGCCCAAAAACGCTACGCTACGCTAAGTGTAACTTAGCGGTTGCGCCGTTGCGAGTACTCAACTTGATTGCGCCACTGTTGAAGAACTTGATCGCTTCAATTCACTTGGTGTCAACTACCGAAGTGCGGTAGGGGCCTTAAGCTATCTTAGTTGGGCCACTCGACCGGATATCGCTCACGCTGTCAGTCAGCTTTCTCAATTCTTGGAAGCGCCTGGTATAACTCACTGGGAGGCGTTCACCCTTGTGCTGCGGTATCTTGCCGGCACGCCTGATCATGCTCTAGTCTATGGCCGTAATTTGTCAAGTCCGTTGGAAGGTTACACGGACGCAGACTGGGGCAGCTGCCCGGCTACTCGCCGCTCGGTGACTGGTTACTTATCCCTTTTCAATGATCATTTAATTGGTTGGCAAACGAAGAAGCAACCTGTCGTATCTCTCTCGTCGTGTGAGGCTGAATATCGTGCTCTCACGGATTTTTCTTGCGAGTTATTATGGATCGGACAATTAATCATTGAAATTGGTCTTGCCGACTCACTAACTCCTACTGTTGTTCATGAAGACAATCAAGGGTGTATTGCCGTGGCCAACTTCAACGCTAATTCTAACTCAAAGAGAATGAAGCATGTTGAAATTCAGCTTCATTTCATTCGCGATGTTATAAAGGACAAGAAGATCATTCTCAAGTACACTCCAACGAATAAGATGTTGGCGGATTTCCTCGCCCAGCGCTTGTCAAATCCTTGCTTGCTTTAGGACTATTTTGTCTTGAGGTAAGGGGGGGGGGTGTTGATGTCTGAGTCCTAACGCAAAACTTCAGCCCACTGTCATACTCAAGATCAAAATAAATTATATTTTGATGACATCATTTGTGCTTGAACCTCAAAGTTCTCAAGCCTCTACAATGATGTCATCGTGCATGAACCCTCGTCTATCTTTTCCAATTCCTTCCTCTTCCTTATCATCACCCAACTCTTCTAAGATTCTTCCTCCCCTAGGACCTCATCATTTTTCCATCTCCGTTCCTCAATTGTTAAATCCTCATTCGACATAACTTTTCCTCATAAGATGTTGAGTTTTCAACTCTTTGGCTACTCTTTCCCCTAAATTGTTTCTCCTCTTTTCTTTCTTGAATCATCTTGACCTGGACTGAATTATCCTCAATCATAGCTGTTTTTTGCCTTGAATCTTATGCTCAATTGTAGTCTAATTAGAACTAATCATGGCAATTTTCAAACAACTCTAGTCTTATTGATTGATTTCTTTCTTTTTCTAGCTCACTATTTGATTCTTTAAAGGCTAATTATTTAGAAGTAACGCCTCTAAATATTTGTGGTAGAATTTCTGATTTTTCTTGATTAACTTTTCTTGTCTGACTAAAAGAGACTGAGAAGTCCGGCTAAGACTGTTTCTTCCAAGACTTCAAATTATTCTGTCTCTTAGTTTTTATTCAACTTTCTTTTTTATTCAATTTGCCTCAACCACAGTTTGATCACATGTATTTAGTCTATTTAATCTGGCTATTTACCTGTGAATGAAAACCATTGGTTCTTTCATTCATTTTCCGTGAGCCTTTCCCAAAAAAGTCTCTCATCCTTTTTTGAGCCCCTTTTCTCAAACTCCTCAAAAATCCTTCCCCTCTCGAGCTCAGAATTTCAACACGATTAACAGTCGAAGACTGCTAACCACCGCACATTATGGAAAGTGAATCTCGACTCGAATCATCCCGATACCTGCTTACCTCCGACAACTACTCCACCTGGATTGTGTCGATTGAAGCAAAACTTGAAGATATCGGAGCTCGCGAACTGGTTACCGGATTGATCAAGATTGATGAAAAAACCACCCCGGATGAACTCGATAAATATACCGTTCTCAATAAGAAAGGATACTTGAAGATCATCCAGAACCTCGATGCCACCAATCTCGCCCTTGTCAGTACCACCCTGCCTGAAGAAGATCGCTTCAAAGGTCGAGCGTTGTGGAAACTCCTCAAAAACAAATACGCGGGATCTGATCTCGTTGCTCGATCGACCGCTCTTGATCATTTTCTTGATTTAGAATACACGGACGTCGGTTCTTTCTGTTCGGCCATAAGACTTGCCAACCAACGACTTGTACTCGCTAACGTTCTCAAAGATGATCAAGTAAAAATTATGATCATGCTCCGGAAACTTCCTCGCGAACAATATCAATCGTTCCGTGATATTATTGCTATGGGATTCGCCTCTGAAACTTTTGAATCAGCGGTTAAAAGACTTGAGTCATACGCTATCTCAAACAACATCAAGAAGGGATCGTTTGCGTCCTCCTCTGATCAAGCAACCATGATGACGAAAGCCACCACCTCCAAGTCTACGGCCTGCTCTCACTGTGGAAAGACCGGCCATCGACCCCATAATTGCTGGACTAAATACCCGGAAAAGGCTGCGAAAACTGAGTCTGCTCATCTGACTCTCGTCGATGGGTACAATCAACTCCAGGGTGTCACCAACTGGTGCACACTCCCTGATGGTACTCGGATGAATGCCGACGACATCAGCTATGACTGTCTCCGTGGCATGTAGAACACCTCGTACCTAGCTTCTCTCACTCGACCTCGTCTCGTTGCTACATCATCTGCTCCATCGGCTTCTCTCTCATTCGCTCCGATCTCCTCCCCGCTTCAATTCTTCTCGCTACAACTTCCCGTGCATCTCCTCCTTCGCTCCGATCCCACCTCGCAGCCTCCCTTCTCAACTCGACTTTGCTTCGATCTCCGCTCTCTCTCCTCGCTCTGTCTCACCTTCCCTTGCTCCGACCCCGTCTTGCTAGATCCTCTGCTCCATCCTCACTTCCATCGATCTCTCTCTCTCTTCAACTCCTCTTCCATCTAACCTCACCCATCGCTTGACACCTTCTCTCTGTCTCACTCCGATCTCTTCTCGCTACGTTCTCTCCTCCATCATCAACTCCCCTCGCTTCTATCTCCCTTCGCTACATCTCTGCCTCAACTTTGTTGAATTCAACCGGTCCTTGTTCTTTGGTTCAGAGTAGAGGGGGCGTGTTGAGTTTTCAACTCTTTGGCTACTCTTTCCCCTAAATTGTTTCTCCTCTTTTCTTTCTTGAATCATCTTGACCTGGACTGAATTATCCTCAATCATAGCTGTTTTTTGCCTTGAATCTTATGCTCAATTGTAGTCTAATTAGAACTAATCATGGCAATTTTCAAACAACTCTAGTCTTATTGATTGATGTCTTTCTTTTTCTAGCTCACTATTTGATTCTTTAAAGGCTAATTATTTAGAAGTAACGCCTCTAAATATTTGTGGTAGAATTTCTGATTTTTCTTGATTAACTTTTCTTGTCTGACTAAAAGAGACTGAGAAGTCCGGCTAAGACTGTTTCTTCCAAGACTTCAAATTATTCTGTCTCTTAGTTTTTATTCAACTTTCTTTTTTATTCAATTTGCCTCAACCACAGTTTGATCACATGTATTTAGTCTATTTAATCTGGCTATTTACCTGTGAATGAAAACCATTGGTTCTTTCATTCATTTTCCGTGAGCCTTTCCCAAAAAAGTCTCTCATCCTTTTTTGAGCCCCTTTTCTCAAACTCCTCAAAAATCCTTCCCCTCTCGAGCTCAGAATTTCAACATAAGATTATCCTGATTAAGACGAACATCTTCTCTCGTCTTATTAACTCATCCTTCCTCTTCCAACAAACTCCCCTTCGACAATCATCCTTTCTCGACACACTTTCTTCTCATCTTAATTGATCTCCTCGACTATCATTCCCTTTCTTTCGACACATCGCCGACCATCTTTTCTCTCCCTTCTTTCCAACATATCGCCGACCATCTCTTTCTAAAAAGAAACCTGTCCTCTATTGTCGTAGGTTCTCATTTGGTTCTTTCTCATCAATGTTCTTATATTGACCCACTTTCATTTGTTAGACCTATTTCTATCATTTGTTGTTCTAAGATATTTTGTTGTTCTTTTCATCATCCATCTACTGCTTTTAGGTGATTATTTCTTTTCTTCTTTTCTAAGTTTTCTATCTTGTATTTCATTTGACTGGTACTCATGAAATACATCTTTTAGTCTAAACATTAACAAGGCCAAGCATCAATGAGGATGCTCGACCGTTGGTCCACATGGTCTTGAGATTTGGACCATCCTTCCGACATCAGATCAGCCCGGAGTCATCGTTCCCCTCACTTTCAAACAAAAAAAATTTAAGTTTTTTTTTTTTTTTTTTTTTCTTCCAAAACTCATTTTTCTTGAGTTTTTGGACGGTCAGGACCCCCATTGGTGGGTCCTGGTTGGAGGTGGATTGAGGGTCGGCCGTTGTGTAACCAACGTGGGCAACGTGCCCACATGGTCCCGACCAAGTCAAATTTCGTTTTGTGGAACCATCGACAAAAAGAACACTCGGTTCGTGGAACCAACAACAAAATTGGACTTACCAAACATTTACAGAGCCGATCTCGTGGATTCCACGGATCGGCTGTGATTTGTCGGTTCCATAATCCCACTTGGCTAGAAGTGCCCCTGGGGTGTACATAAGTGATGCACCCCATGTGCAATGGGGTGAAGCAGTTAGCAGTTTTGGAATGTGTGGTATCCTGGCTTGGGTATGGAAAATCTGGCAGAAATGTTTGAACAAGCTGGCCCAGGACCTTGAAGTTGAAGAGGTCCACCAATACTTTGCTGGAATAAGATCTTGATGGTTTGTTGGAAAGTACAAAATTTTAGTGGAGAACTCAAGAAGCAAAATCTCACAATTGAAGTTAATAAATCTAGTGCATCCATAAACAAACCACTGTGAAAAAATCTTGCAGAACTGGCCTCAGTTGACATGCAATATTACAAAGGTGCCTTTGCAGTATTGCATGTCAAATGCCACCAGTTCAGCAAGATTTAATCACAGTGAACCTTTTTAAATAACAGCACAATGTAGGCTGGAATCACCCCCAAATATTCCATATTTGTAGTTACCTACTAGTACAGTGGGTGGACCATTATTTTTGGCTGCTTGTATTGGATTCCAGAGCTTCAAAGCACAAACTTGAAGTCACAAGAACTGGTGAAGTGGTTCAGAATAGGTCCCAAAAAATGAATGTGAAAAAATAAAAACAAAAAACAAAGTTTCAAAATCTGTGAAAAATAAAAAAATAAAAATGGTTTTTTTCCAAAA